GTATATAGTTGTATTTGATTTAGTTCTGTCTTATTTAGACTAAAAGGGGAGATGTAGGGATAAGTCCCGCCCCTTGGGGGCGTGTTCGCCTCGGGCTAATGTTAGCCTATAAATTTGGCGAGTGTGCTCCCAGACACTGCTTCTGCTTTCCTGGTCTCCATGGAAACAGTGGTTCTGTAAGTCTATTTCTCCATTAAAGCTGTATATATTTTGACAATCTGTCTGCATTCGTTTAAGCCATTACAGCCTACTTTCTATATCTCCATACAGATTTCCCACTTGACTTTACTCTACTAAGCCATTGGTAAAAACAGCTTCTTTAATAACCAATGCTAATTAAACATATTCATAGCATACAGAGAGGAATCCCATATTACATACTCATAACTGATAATAATTCTTTTTGTCTCAGTGGCTCTAATTTTGCCTTCACCAGCCACCATTCCAGATTCCACTGTGCTTTTTCTGCTTTGAGTGGTCGAAACTGAATCATCAGATACTTGGCTGGCATCTTCTCTGATTTGTTTTTGCAGAAAATGCTTTTGAAGAATCCTTTTCACGAAGGTCCGCTTTGATGTCACTTTCTATGCCATGCTGGAAAATGGCCTTTCTGCACATGCGCTCCACCAGGCAAGTTCGGCTTTACTTGGTGAGTTCTCCCTTTTAAATTCCATGTGGGTAGGGTTCGGGATGTTGTTGCAGACTCAGCAATGCCAAAAGCCACACACACACACACACACACACACACACACACACACAGATACAGATATAGCATCTGGATGCTTCACCTGGAAAATCGATCTACTCATCCTGCCAAGACAGGTAGGCTGAATCTTCCGCATCACAGCAAAAATCTTTGGAATTTTTAAAAACTAATGGTAAATACTGCTTCTAAGACTGATGTTCTCCAAGTTCAAGGAGAGAACTTGGTGTTTCCTGCTAGGCAAAAACTGTCTAGTTTTTTGCTTATCTATTCCTCCCAGATCTGTCTAAAGGCATTTGACAACTCAAGGTACTGTTCTTTAGCAGGCTTCATAGTCCAGAATTAACAGGTTTCAATCTTCAGAGGTTCAGAATTCCCAATTTCTCTTATTATTCCTTCTCACCTAAAGTAATAGCCTTTTGCTATAACACCAAGATATAAAATCTGTTCAAGTTCTCTTACAGATCCCTGGAAAAGTTCTATTGCTACATCAAATTCAAGTCTAGTAAAAGCCATGGTTTTTAATTTTTACTTTTTAAACCTAGCCATATTTTGCAGGTTACTCCTGCTGCCTAAGTCAATACCAAACCACAAAGCACTTTCAGGACAACACCAAAAGCACCTGTACCAGTTCCTGGGACTTCATTGTTGGTACAAGCTCTCCTGGTTCAAGGACACCTGCTGACTCTTCTGGATCAAGGATACCTGCCAACTAATATCTGGTTTCATCTGCTACTGTGTCTCATTTGGGCCAATAATAACAATATTTTTTTTCTCCTAGGCATGTGCCTTCTTATCTCCCTTGAGAAACAGATGCCTGGCATCTCCAGAATGACAGTGAACAAGATGACTTTCCAGGCATACCTCCCACTGAGCATGAACCCACCAAATTTCAGCTCTCCCCTCTCCCACATCGTCCCATGCCTGCAGGAAGTAGCCAGACTTTAATCTACACTCTTTTTTCAACAAGAGCCTAAAATGTTGGTCATAATTATCATCTCAATTTCCTGTCACCCCTATATCCAAGCAGTCTGGAATGTTAAGTCAGGAGGGAAACCCCAGCCCATGGCATCCATCCCAGCCCCCTGGCCAGGGAGCTGCCTTGGTCTGGACTCCAAATCCCGGCATGCCACTCCCACAGGGTATTTAAGTGGGCTCCCAGAGGAAGAACACATTGACCCAGCCCAGGTCAATGTTACCCACATCACTCCGAAGACTGGCAGCTACTCATCAGGCACTGCAGGCCACGCAGCTGCAGAGGTTTGGGCAGCTGGGCCACAGGTCCAGCAGGCAGGCGGAAGGGAGGAGATGCCTGCTGTGGTGGCGCACAGTGCTCCGCTGGGCTGCACAGAGATACTCGGGCTGTGCCAGGGACAGAGCTGCAACAAAGGACTTCCACTGCCGCAATCTGCGCCTGCCGCACCGCATTGAGCTTATGCCAATGCGATGCGGCAGACTCCAGGTCTGCCCACCAGTTCGCAGTGGTGACTGCAAACCTTCCCCACTTCTCGCCAGCCCACCCACTCCGCCGTTGGCGGCCAGAGGCAATCGCATGTTGGAGTAACAGATTTGTTTTGTCTGAGCTGAGGAAGAAGCAGCTGGAACAGCACTCCTGCCCCTCTCCCCTGGGTCGCCTCGACCCTCCTTCTGTTTGCACAGCTGGACGCCACTGTGACTCTCCCGACTCCCCCGGGGCTGGTTGCTGTTCGCACTGTGCCCAGATATCAGACCCCTGCCTAGCAGGGCCCCGCAGTTGGACCCGCCCCCGAGCTCCACCCTGGATGCTCTGAAGGCACTGACACCCTCGTCCTGATCGCTTCCATCTCAGGGTCTCCCATTCCCTGCTCTCCACCCCTCCTCGCGTGGGCCAGTTGCCCTGTGGCCTGAGTCACTTCCCCCACCACACGTGTGACAAGGAATTATTCTATCCACAAAAAATAGTGGGCTGTGCAAGATAGTTAACCACCTAGTGTCCAGGAGGAAGAAGTGCGCTACTGGACGACAATAGAGTAAGCGACTGGGTGCAAGGGCGAGTGCTATCGAAATGCACATCTCTGCTGATTTAGAAAAGATCTTTGTTTGGTTTGGAAGGCAGGGTAAGGAACCATTGTGCTGTGTCTTTAAGAACAGACTAACCTTATGGGAGGAGAACGTGTCACTCAGGCATGATTAGCCAATCAGGTCCTCCAGGTAACTTGCCAGTCAGAAATGGTGGAGGGCCTTTCCGGGTTCCCGCTTGGCAGTGAAGTGGAAGTGGAGCCAGCCCTGTGTGCTGTTCAACTAAAACTCCTCAAGGGACCTGTGTGGAGCGCTTGGGAAAGCTAGGAAACCGCGACATGGTGAGTGAGGGGCTGCTGTTTCTGGATGGGAGGAGCAGATGGTGAGGTGCGGGAACCAGTGTGGTGGTACCCATCCAGATCTGCCTGGAAAACTGCAGCCAGATTCCTCATCCTTTCAAGTTTAATGCCATGCCTGCAACTCCCTGAATAGGGCAGTCCTCTGTATAACTTGGCACTGTGGGCTGAATCTGCTCAGGGCACTGGGAGCAGGGAGCTGTGTGGAGAAACCTCTTTCTAGGCAACATAAGAATGCTTTTAGTGCGTTCATGGAAAGCAGGTTGCCAAACTAATGGAGGTCTAGTTTCTCTAATATCTTCTAGATGTTCAGCACTGTGCATTCCACCTTTATGTATGAGAACCATTTATTGTTAATTTTGTGGAGGTTGTAAAACCATCCATATGTTGGGTAGCCCTCCACTTCTAAGCCATGATGTAGAAGTGTGGAATTGGTAATACAAAAGATTTACCAACAATTAGGAAATAGTAAGTCTCAAAAAGCAGAATTTAACTGATGGAAGACTGCCTCAAAACCCCTCAAAATATATGTGTATGCTGATCAGATATGTTAATGATTAGGATGCTAGGATGCACATTTGTTCAACAGGATTTTTCAGACTTTTGGCTCTAAGCCTTTACAAAGAAGCCTTCCCTGGTTTACAACCAGGCAGTAGGCCCATCTGCATACCAAAGAACCGGCCTATAACAAGCTGCTCATGGGGGCATAACTTGGTCACTAGAAGCTTAAGGCCTGGTGTGCCATTCAAGTTTCAGTTTTCCACTTGAGAAAAGCATAGTTCTGCCTGATGGGCTATATGACACCAGATGACATCTATTTAAAAATAAAACATTGTTCTCTTAAGGGATGGCCTGTTCAACTAAGGCTTTTATTTAGGCCCTCAAGCAGGGAGGAGGGAGAATAACAGCCTGGGGCCTAGGATTTGGGAGCTTTCCTAGGGTGTAATATATTGACAGTTGAATTTAGCTACTTTGGTAATTGCCTGGGGTCAGGGCCTCTGTGGAAGGATAGCTTTAGACTCTGAGAACCCCTCAGAGCTATGGTTTAAGTCCCAAGGCCTTTGGGTCTTAGTCAGTAATGATTACCTAAGACTCCTTGTGTAGCATTGTTTGATTAGCCTCCCCTTGAATTTGTACTACTGCAGGAGAGTTTCTGCTGACTTCATTAAAGTTGTTCATTTCCTTCCATTTCACCTGGAAGTTGGATACAATATTCTATTCTTCTTAAGAAACTTATTTGGCATGGAACTTATCATGTGTAAGAAATATCCACCATAGCTTTTATCTTTTCTCTTTCTTCTTTCTTTGGGTTTTCAAAACAGGGTTTCTCTGTAGCTTTGGAACATGTCCTGGAACTAGTTCTTATAGACCATGCTGGCTTCAAACTCACAGAGATATGCCTGCCTCTGCCTCTAGAGTGCTGGGATTAAAGACCTGTGCCACCACTGCTCAGCTGCTTTTATCTTCTCTACCTTCTACTTGCCTTATGTTTCTCATCCACTGTGACCTTCACCACAGGATCCTGTCACTGCTTCATGCCACAGGTGTACTTAAGAAAGTGTTCTGGGAATATCTTTGCTGTCTAACTTTCCCATCTGCCTGAGTGGCTAGACCTATAACTTGCCTATTTCTTTTGAAGTGTTCAAAGTCTACATGGAACATGAACCCAAAAGACAGGTAAGGATGATAGCACATGTGGAATGTAAAATTAAAGTTTTTCTTTGTTAATTCCCTGTGTGTGAAGTGATTTCTCAAAGGGAAGTCATATTAGTTCTAGAACTGTTGTTTTCCATACTGTTGGAAAAATTGTGTTTGAGACAAGCTCTCTTAGGTTGACTTAGGTGGCCTTGATTCCAGTCTGTTGTACTAGAGAATGGCCTTGTTGTCCTCTATATTACACCTTCAAAATTCTTAAATTATGTAACTGTACCATCTATCTCAGTTTTAAAATAATTTGTTAGAGTCATTTAGTCAACTATCCAGTGCAGTCACAGGAAAAGGATCCACATATGGAACATTGCTTCTGTCTTCTGACCAAAATAGGAGGAAGAATTTACTCTGTAGATTACAGGGGAAACAGGGTAGGCAACCAGCTCCTGGACTCACCATTATGATAAAGGACTTGATTGTGGTCAGGGAGTGTTTCTGTAAGTTCCCAGCATGTTTTAATTCATGTTATATGAATGAACACAGATCAGTGTAGGTGTATAGTTTGGAAAGGTTATCTTGTGCCAATGAATACAGAAGGTGTAATTAAGCAGAGATTCTATGCAGATATTTTAGTCCTACTTGAAACAGTTATGTGAGCTCAGAGGTTTGAGAAACAGTCTATTGATTTTAACTCTGTGTCAGCTTACAGATCTCAGCAGACAACATAGATGTACGGGCCAAATCAGTCTATCTCTTATTAATGACATTCCCTCTACTATGGAAAGTCCTACTGTTTTTCAAAGTTAGTATACCTAAGCTTTTTAATCTTAAAAATACAACATTTTTTATCATTTTAAAAATCATTTTTTGGTATCAGTTTTAAATATTTTCTTTAAGTGCATTACTGCCCTTATCTCTGTTTCTCTTCACCAATGTTTCTATGTCATTAATAGCTTCAGTCCTTTTCTCTCAATTCATGTTATTGATTCCTGTGTAAAGCAATGTCTTTTATAGCTTAAGTTTGTCTCATGTTTTATAACTGAGAATTGTTTTGAACACCTAACCTTGCCTCTTCTGCCCAGTGCTGGGAAAACAGTTCTGCAAACTCCTTATAGACTGGGCCTTCACTAGCCAATGGGATGGAAAATTAGACCAGTTCATAGGTGACCTTCAGTCTCTCTATCTTTTTTGGGGGGAGGAGGACTTAAATATGAAGAGAGACGTGTGATCAAATTGAGTCATTGAGAACTTTGAAGCTGGTCCCAAAAGAGTGCAGAAATGGAGAGGAAGGTAGGAGGGTGAGAGCTTTCCCACTTCAATAGTTGTTGAGATTAGTAATGTGAATTACATAGTCAATTTGAGATGCTTCATAAATGTCCTGATTGGCCATTTCTTAAGGTATACAAACAAATGCAATCAAAAATTTGTGTAAAAGACTGACCTAATCATGAAAACAATTGCTATAGTTACAGTAGTTCAACCAAAATAAAAGATCTGGCAAAATGTTGTGACCCTGTCTAACAAGTCTGTTATTTTTCTTGCTTAAGATGTGCATCTTTAGAGAAAAGGTCTGAGAACTCTTTGATATGTTCTAATCTCTTGTCAGGAACACATTGCTATAAAGTCTGTTTCAACATTTCAACATTAATTTTGAGATTATAACTCTATAATATCCATATTCTCTTTCCTGCCTCCAAGATTACCATGACCCCTCATTGTCTTCTAATTCATGGCCTCTTTTTCTTTAATAACAGTTGATTGTGACCTGTGTTTATCAGCAGGATTTTCCAAATATGTGGCAGTGGGTTGGCTGAACTAGACACTGCATATGCAATGTGATGTGCACAAAAAGAACCATGTGATTTGGATAAGAAACAGGACGTGTTCAGGGGAGTAGAAGATAAGGTTCTGTCTGTTGCACTGAAAGGACAAAGCTAGGACTGTTGCCTGAGTCATTTGATCTTGGCTAGTTCTGAGGCATATCTGGGAGGCTCTAACCCATGAGGAACTTTGGGGAATCTGAGCAATCAGGATTACTAGTGACACATAGTTTTTGTGTTCTTTCTGGGATTTAGTATGCTTCTGCTGTAGTGAATAATATAGACAACAAACTATGCCTTGGTGAGTATGGCATGCTAAGAGCAGGTCTCCGCTGCTGTCATTTCTGCTGGGTATTGGATGGACCATGAGGCAGACTGAATATGTGGTTTCTTGGACAGTGGTCCTTGTCCTCTGAGCCTCCCTGTGTATGGATTTCCTGGGAAGTGGGAGAATCTGCAGCCCTGGAATGGGAGGATATGATGCTTGTGGTAACTCTGTCTAGTGTGCCCACATGAGTACTGCTGTTTGTGTGCAGATTGGAAATCTGAAGGTCTGGTTTATAGAAGTTCTGAATATGGCATTCCACTCTTAGGTCTGTCTCATAAATGATAGAAGTAGTTTAGAAACTATTAGAAAGATGGTGATGGGATCATCTTTCAGCAATACATGACTAGAACACTGTTAACTTTCTCTTTCCACCAGCCACAGTGGTGTGATTAAATGAAGTTTAGTTCCAGAGGACAATAGGAGTTTCTGATCTGTGAGATTTCTTAGGTGTGCATGGTGTTGGGCAGGTAGATAGGTCATAATCCAAATTTCGTGCCATAAATCTTGTTTTCAAGAGGTAGATTTTAAATTATTCTTCTATGTTGTTTGGAATTGGACATCAGTGTTACAGGAACTGCATTTTCCTTAAACAACACGTAAGTATACAGGGCTGCAGAACCTTAGCAAGTGATCACCTTCATTTGCAGAGAGAGGTCTCAAACATGGGGTTTCTGTCTTTGGAAGAAATGTTAGTAGCTAGAGGGGCCAGAAACAATTTAAAGGTCACTTTGTGCTAATTTTGTGAAAGTATGAAGTCTTTATTTAATGTCTGTACTAATAGGATCATAGATACATTGGGTTCAAAATCACACTATTCCTTGCTAAGTTTCCTTTGGTTTTCTGATTAAAAGTTAACAATATTTTTATGTCTTTGTTCTTGGCTTTTTCGCTATACCCCTTTATTCTTTCATAAGTATTGTATACATTTTTAATTGTTATGTCTTTGTGGTAAGTATAGAAGTCATATTATATCAATCTATGTACTACTTTCTTATAATTCCTTTGAGCATTCTGAGTGTTTCCACAGTGAATGTAGATTTGTAATTGACTTTCCTGTTATAAATTGTTGGGCACTGTCATTTTATTGAATTCATATTATGGTGCAAATTTACCATATACAGTACCTTAATTTTACTGCAACATGCTTAAAAGGATCATTTATTCACTTCTTTATTTAGGCTTTCTTG